CAACAACTTTTGAGCACACAGAACGGGATTATGTAATCGGATTAGCAACGCCTTGTAACTTTTACGTCAAGAAAAGCTAGTGTTGTTGGTTTCCGTTTCAAGAGATACAGATAGATCTGGATGGACTAAGTTAAACTGTTGTAAAAGTGTAATAAAACGTTCAGAATCTGTAAGAATGAAAATATCGTCCACGTAACGTTTGTACAGAGTGGATTTTTCTCAATCACGCCTAGAGAAACGTCTGCCGAAATGGGCCACATGGGACTGCCCATTGCCACGCCATCGATCTGTTTGTACATGGCCCCTTCAAACTCAAAACGAATGTTTTCTGTGCATATAAGAATAAGTTCTCTTAGGAATCCAAGAGCTTCAAGATTTCTTATGCGATAATATTTCTTCAAACAATTTTGAACTTAATATTTCTTTTGAAGTTACAAGGCGGATAAATGGGACACTACAACGCTCAGTCCACCGAAAAGCGACATGGAGCGGTCAATATCTGTACTTTTCCAGCTTTGTCCCCATGACTTGCAAACGTGGGCTTATGAGAACCCTATTTCATCGGGCGAGAAACATTTGTTCCCCAGATACACTGAAGGAAGAAGAGTTCCTAAGGAGAATATTGCTAAACAATGGTTACCTAGAAAGGTTTATAGATATTCACCGTAGATCAATTCCAAAAGGTAACCCATCCCAAAACGTTGATAAAAAGGCCATCTACATCAAGCTTGCGTTCAAAGGTGATCACATTTACAATGATGTGCGCCAGAAGTTGAGGTCAGCTCTAGACCGTACATTCCCAGCTGCTCAACTCAGACTCATCGCCTCCACTCGTGGAATCGATTTGGACAAACGTAAACATGGCTGGCAAACCAGTTCCGTCTCACACACTATACCAGTTCACCTGCAGTTGCGGTGACGCATACATAGGCAGAACCAACCGTCAATTATCACAGCGGATGGCCGAACACATTCCAAAGTGGTTGGTGAAATCGATGACGCAACCGACAAATGATGACCAAGTGATTGCAGGAAATCCAGGATCATCTGTTCCAAAACATCTCATGGAAACAAGACACACAGTTGACCCTAATTCGTCTTTCAAATCACTATTACGTAATTGTAATGCTAAACTTTTGGCGATTAGTGAAGCACTGCTTATTCGATTACATCACCGACCCTGTGCGCACAGAAGTTTTTGATACAAGCAATCCACTTACCGTGGAGCTGACCTTCTACTTCTAAATTTAGTAATCATTGTATGGTTGTACACGTTTGTTCACCAAAATTGATCAATCGCATGTGCTATATATGTGCCTGTTTGTTTTAAGTCAGCGACTGAAAAGATTAAACGAAATGTTAACATCTCACGATATTTGTCTTCTTTCTGTTTTGATGAGAAGTTATGTTTATAAAAGTAATAATGAGCCAAATTTCAAAACTGCTGCACATAAGCTCTAGGCTGTAAGCAACAACGCAAGCTGTTGGATGTCAGTAATTGATTCTATTGGTTAATTTAATTCATGGGTATTACATCTTTAAGTTTTTATCTGTAACGCAAACTTCCAGTACACTCACGAAGGCCAGATATTGTATTCATCGGTTTATGGATCAGAACAAACCAAGCCTAGCAGGTCATTCTAGACCCGTGATGTCCTGTCCGATGTACGCTTGTCCCCCTTCCCTTACTTTAGGGTAATAAAGCGATTGATCAATCCCTACCCAACGACCCTAATGCAGTCGTGCTGTGATTGGTCTATTTGAGAAACCGAACAACCTTTGTGGTTGGGGGACACATTGTCAGGCCCCCCCGCGATATATCCGATAATGACAATAGGGCGTTTGTGCCCATATGTGGAGAGGAAAAAGACCAACACTGATATGTAACAGTGGTTTATATTTTCATACTACTGCCAAGTGCTACTGGGAATCTAGGTCCCCCACTCACGTGGGACCGTCCACGAGCGTACTGTGACGGTACGTGTGTGGAGCACAGACGACGCGAACAAGCGTCTTCCCGCACAGAAAATGAATCTAATGAATGAAACTTATAAGGGGTGAAATGAGTAACTAATCGTTGGCGTGGTATGGTACAACTAGCATTCGGTGTGGAGGAAGGGAATTTTTCTGTATGATACACATTTGGCACACATTTTGCATATAAATCCCAGAGGTTGTTGGCATTTACAGTTTAAGGCTTAAATCCTATTTATGTTCAGGAAAATTATTTATGCAGATTAAATATGTGGAAAAGGTTACCATTTTTCCATGACAGTGACTGGACGCTAAGGTTCGGTCTGAGAGCAGAGAAGCTGCACTGCCGCTGCTCTCCGACGTACTGATTTCTTCCAGGTGGCTTTTAAGTGATCATACCTTCGTATTATGTTTATTATTGTTATTACCTTTAGACCAGTAGAGAAATTTTTCGAACTTCACAGATGGTCTCGATAACAATGATAAATGTAGGCTGTTTTGCGGTTGATGAAGAATCCCGACCCTAAAGCACAGGGTTTACACGCTGCCACCGCCAACCAACTTTGGTAGTGGACAGTTTTTTTATCGTACAGCTCGATATTAAGTCTAGTTTACTGGGGTCTCATACAGTTTGCCGCTACAAGTCTCAAGGTTCATACTGACCGTTCTAATAACCGAAGATAGTTACCTATGATTATGGGAATCATCCGTTAGACTGCATGATGAATACACAATGCGACCTCTCGGGCACAAGTTAAAGAATATTAAATAATCGAACATCACTACTTTCGCCGCGCATCCGTTCCGGTGGCATATTTGGCGAGTTTCAAGTCACTCGGTTACCTTCCTTCCCCCAAAAGAAACGCATTTTCAACATTGTGCTAGGTGCCACACACATCATCATCGAAGGCAATGTAAAACGAAGAAGCAAATTACAAACAAAGCAAGTTTGGGAAGGAAATGTTTTGGTCGGGTGAGTAGTCTTCTTGGCTCTCCGCTTAGTGAAGCCTGGCGCGCCAAACGCTTTGTTGCATCCGGAATGGCAAACCGACGGTATGCATTTGTGCGATCGTATGAATGCTGTGAATTTTCTTCGTGTTGCTGAAGTGGATAGACATCTACCTAATTAGAGCTTAAGTGGGTGAATGCTGTCATGCAGAATGTTGTAACATAAATGACGGCAAGAATAAAGTTGTTTTGTAGCGATGATCGTAACGAAAGTGAGACGTAACATTCAATTGATGCGTGAAATTCGCTCTTTATGGATCTGCCAAAGATTTGGTATAGGAAGGAGATCGAAATGGGAACAACTGTAACAGATGAATTGACACTTGCCTGTCAGGTAGTTCTGGACCCGTGCTTGCGACTGTATGGCTAGTCCAGCAGCTTTTAGAAAATAAAGTGAGTGGAACAAAAGTAAGATCTAGAATGAGAGTATGAAAATTATACCTGGTAGATTCGGTCATAAAGGTCGCGTTACAGGATTGGGACCTCAGGATCAGTGCAATCGACGGCTAGAGTCAGAGTGATGTAGCTATTTTGGAAACAGTGGTGTTCGTGCATCAACTCAGTTCTTTTGGAACCTTAGTCTACCTGAGTTCTCTATTTTCACGCTAACACTAATTCTAACATTTCACATTTCCCTCTACTGCTTCATTGAAATGGGCTGCCAAGAGACAAAAACCAAAAGGTTCTCGCCGGTTGCACAAACCAATGGAGTCGTTATTTAACGGGATCTGGAAAACGGAGACCTTCCCGACGGTTGTATCATCTTCACTCTGCTACCAATAACCAAAAGATAAGCGAATTGAGGGCGGGAACTACCGAGGCACCAGTCTAATCAAAAGAGCGACCAGACTGTTCGCAAAAGTACTAAGTAATCCCACCAGAAAAGCAAGAAAGACGAGAAATCATGAAAATCAGGACGATTCCACCTAAAGCAGATGGTGTGATCATCATATATTCACCTTCCATCAGATCTTGGAAAACTGATACAAGTTAGGATAACCATATAGCATAACTCGAGTTTACGGACGACAGTGGTGATCTCGGGGGCATTACGAACAACGTACAGCTGAGCCGTAACCATGTTGTCTGTCTTGTCAAAGAAATAAGTCCCAAATCAAAACCACTTCAACGACGGCGATTCCAGTGTCGCACCCGATCACAATCAGTGGTGTGCTATTATAATTAGCAGAGGCTTTCAAATAGTTCTACCCCATCATTGAACCGAACGACCGAGCAGAATCTGAAAACCAGCTGTGCATCAACGTCGCTAGATCTTGCCAACAATTCCGCCGAACACCATGAAAACGCAGCGAAATCATCCTTTATAGTAAAACGTGAGTCTAAAGAGCTGTCACTCTGATTGTCCTGAACTACAGCTGCCAGCCGCGGCCACTAAGAGCCCAAAAACCCCAAATACTGGAGGTTTTTGCCCACTAGTGTTTTCGGAATATCTTCTAGGCACAAAGATTTGATCAATCAACCCCAGAGGAAGTTCACCAATACCACTGTTCAACCAAAAAGCATTCTACACTGCTGCAGTATTGCCATCTTCAGCAATTCTAAATGTTCTTCAGCTTCTCGCTAAGGATCTGTCGAGAAGAGCTATCTCTCAAATGTCACGTTTGAGATGGCGCAGTGTCTCAGTGGTTTGTGGAAGAGCACACTTACGGAGGACATGGAACATCTGACAGCGGTGTATAGCTTCTGAAATTGTAATAATAACTGGCTTTCACTTTGCACCTATCTCGTCACTGAACGCCGTGAATGGGCAGTGATCATCAGACATCAGTGAAGTTAACTCACCCTCACGCAGGAGTTAGTAGCATAAAAGTAAAAGTATGTTTGCTTATTGAACCGGCCAGATCCAGAGCTGAATCAGACAAGTGAACGATGAGATTACACTATTGTTAGGCGAACCTTTAAGATTTGGGCTTAGAGATTTTACTTTTTGTCTTCATGATCTAATGTTTCGTAATATCGTGGATCCATATGAAGATAACCTCATATTTCTAAGCAAAACGACGGTGACTCAAAGCCTTCTCAATAATGTTTAGAAGAACAACTTTTGGTGCAAGAGTTAGCCCTTTAATCGATTGACTCGACAGATTCCAATGAATCAAGGAATGTGTTGTACAGAAAAAGATAAAAGCTACCTAAACAAGTTTTTTATTAAACACTTTCGTGTGATGAACAACAGACGGGGCGAACCTCGTAGTCACGAGAACCTGCTGTTCAGTAATGGAAACGGGTGATCTAAGCCCCGGGACTTGGAGTGGCAAACCACATAAAGCCCCACTAGGTTAGGCGTGGTATTGAACCAGACGACAGCAAAGCTGCCTACCACCAAAGTTGGGTGGCGGTAGCGGGGCTCGAACCTCGAACCATAGAGTCCAAAGGACGCCTGTTACAGCGACTAAACCACTGCGCCACCACTACCCTGTGTGCATATACATCTGACATGCGTGAAACTAGAAAGACTGAGAAATGGATTTCTAATGCCACGAGAATCGACCACACCGTTCATCAACTGGGAGGGTATTATTGTTTAACCTGGCCGCAAAGTCACTGACAGTTTGCATTTAGGTTTAGCACGTGACCACACATCCTTCAAGTGTGTATATATTTCAGTCTAATTTTCCATGTTCCTAAAAGTGTTCTATATGATTATATTGTCAAAATGTATCAAGTGAACAGAAGGCAGCAAAGGAATACGAAATACGTTCTTGTTTAGTCTTTGATAATTGATTGACACCATAGTTTTTATCATTTACTTCTTGTGTGAGGGCTCAATTTTTGGAATCTGTTTATTCTTTAAGTGTTCAGTTCAGTTCAGTTGGTACAACCATTAACCACGCATATTCGTGCGCCGGTTGTGTTACGCCTGACACTAAAAATGAAAAATATCATTAGTATACATACTCCAGCTACAAATTGAACAATCGAGGGTTATATTAGTTAATGGATCAAAGAAACTTTCCGAACATATCTAAGTGGATGCGGAATGAGACAATATTTGGATAACGGTGTATGCGACAAATAATACGAATTCACCATTACCGTGATTTATTTTTACTTATAATATCGGAACACCGTGCATTCAGTATCTAATCCAAAGAACTGACATGTCACCTCGACAGATCTTCTTTGATTATGGAAAAGCGTTTTTACAAGAACTATACGTAGGAGTGCATACGTGGCCTTAGATGTAACAATAGGAGCAAAACCGTTTGGACATCTCTTTTTACTAGTCGACTCTTTTGTAAAGATAAATAAGTGATTGAGTATCGGGGTTTTGGAAAATAACAACTTCTTTAGTTGCAACTAGTAGAAATTCTGTCGTGAAAAAAGAAAGCGATAAGCGATCGATTATAGGACCAAAACTTTTCACAAAGAGCAAGAAAAATCATACAAACGGCACAAGCCAAAATGAGTGAATTTCCAGTGCTATGAAAAGGTAGATGGGAGTAGGAATAAGACAGAAGCGAGAACTTCCGAACAGGTCCCACGCATTGGAGCTTATTTGAGTAGATGAGATGTTTTCCACTCCGTGTTTACCCCTACTCATTGCACTCTGAAACTTATCGATGACCAGCTTATACTGCTTCGTGGTATTTCTGTGGGATTGACTTAATTACCAGAGACCATGACGCAATTCAGAACCTCTGTGTGGGCTCGGTACATTTAGTATTTGTCGGTATGACCGTTTAGTATAATTTCAGTCGCCCCTTTGGCGTAGCACTTCTGAGAGACAGAACTGAAAGGGTTTTATTCGTATTTCGTTAAACTGTTCTCTCTTGGCTGTATTCTCTTGTGTCAGTCGCGAACACTGCTAAGCAATATTGGATTAGGTGTTATAAAACATTTCAAGCTGCGAACAGCAAGGTCTTACGGGTTTGGGAGAAGCGATTGAAATGCTTTTTTATCGATCTTATATTTTTTCGGTGAGTGAGTCGTTAGATTTAAATGTACAGTTGTACGCCTGATTGCTTTATCAGATATTTATTTACCCGTTCGGTTTGACAAATGAGTCAGTACTGAGGGTTTTTCTCGGCTGGGGGAGCGGGAATGCACCGAGAATGTAAACAATGCTGGGATTTTTAGATGTTGTTACGGGATTTGATTTTGAAGAAACGGGTGAATTGTGAAGCACATTATCAATAATGGAAGTGAAACACTAAGGGATAACAATCACATTGTCGCAACGAATGAGTAGTTAAAATAGTTAGTCAACACTTGTCAATCAGTCGAGGTCAAATAATTATCGCAAAGAGGTGAGGTAGGGCCAAGTTTGTCTCTAGATTTGTGTTGAAAAACACTTATTCAGGCACTCAAAATTCCTTGGCCCAAAGCGGACAGCATCACGTATGAGCGTTATGATGACCCAAATCAATTACCAAAGCTTACGTAACCCGTTCTTATCTGAACAAGAGAACTAGAGACTACTGTTCCCTACCCCACCCCTTTGCAATAATTATTTGACCTCGACTGTTTATCCCCAACACAACACCATACCGTTATTTGTCAACCAAATATCCGGAGTCTGTTTGCGCCCTACTTTGTAACATTACATTGCTACGACCGGATTACGCGTCTGTAATTACTCGCGATGAAAATCGATCAGTACTGAATGACAGTTTTGTAAAGCAAAAGATTCGCTTTAAAAATTGAAGACAATGTTGGATTAGAGATCACGTTATGTCTAGCAATGGCCAGATTGAAATTACTCAATTAATGCACCAATTTACTGCACCAACAATCAATAAAACAACACGTTCACATCTTGGAAACGTCCTGTTCAGATTCAGCGACAGGTGTTGGATAATCGCAATTTGAACGAATAAGTTCAAAAGCACCTTATCCGACGTAGGGGTGTTTAGAAACTAATGTTTGTTCCACCAAGCAATACAAGTAAGTGAACAGCATCGCGATTATCAAACTACGGTTTGTCCTGGAGACATGAAAGTAATAAAAACAAAAACAATCTTCTGATATTACAAATTTGGCGAAAAAGAGAACCATGTATACATTTTGCATCTTTTGTTTCAGGCTTGTTTGTAATGTAATTAATTCATCCATCTGATTGGTTTTTATTTAATAATCAAGCTTCAACAGAATCACATCAACTCTGAAAAGATCACTTACCAAAATTCATTTGTGGTGCATAAGATGCTTCGTATGTAGCATGAGCAGCAGTCAATCCGGGAATTTGCGTCTCCCCAGGAGTCCAAGCAGCTTCACCGCCTGCCGTCGGCCCAGTTGCAGCTGACCATAATCCACCACCACCGCTGCTGAGAAGCTGTGCAGCCGCCGCAGCTGCTACAGCATTCGGAACGGCTGCATACAATCCTAGTTCTGGTCCCTGAGGGTTCTGTTCATGTGAACTGAATCCAGGCGCCGTCTGTCCCGTAGCGGACTGACTTGGACCAGCCGTAGGTCCTGCAGGTACTTGGGGTTGACCAGAAGGAGCTGTAGGCACCGTTGGCTGTTGAGGAGGTGCTGATGTTTGCTGAGCCCCTTGAGCGGGAGGTGGAACTGGTGGCGGTGAGGTGGTCATACACGCTCCGGGATAATAGCCAGGACCGGTTCCGCGTTGATTAAAACTGGCTGCTAACGCGGTGGCTTGAAGCAGAGCAGCATGTAAAACCGGTGACGTATATGGGTCCACAATAGGTAGAAAACCTGTGCCTGAGACAACGCTATCACGGACCAAATGCGATGGGGTCGGACCGGCTGTTCCTGGTGGCCCAGTTGCAGGAAATCTGGGCAACGAGGCGAACGCAAACGGTGATCCGGTAGGGTAAGCACTAGCCACGGGCCCTTGTACACGAGAGTAGGAAATTGTGGGGCAACTGGTGGATTGCGGATCCTCCGCGATTTTGGCCAAAACGAGAGCCACTGCTGCGCGACACTGATCTGGTTCGCCTGAATATATTAAGTAAAGGATTTCGATGGGTTATATTTATATGCTGGCTGGGTGATTTGACGAATGAGATTTGTACAAACAACCCTCATTTAAGCTTACGGTTAACGAATGTCACCGTAGCAGTTAATGAATATGCGCCTCAACACCCTCGAGATTATCTGTGATACTTCTAAAGTCGATTCTAGTTCTTCAAAAGATAACCATGTTCAAAATACCAATGTACATGCTGTGTGACAAACGGGTTGCCCTTTCAAGCAATGCAGGATAGTTGGAAGCTTAAACATGTGCAATCATCACACTTGCCTTAATCTTGTTGTGGAGCTATTTTGGTTGCTATCTTCCAGCTACGCACACGTCTGACCCGTGAGGAAAGAATATTTGAAAACATAACATTCAAATAAACTATATTTAGTTTAAAAAGTAAATGGATGTACGAGTTCCATTATTTGAAAGATGGTTCTATTACTCGATGTCTTTAATCATTGATTAGGTTAGTCACGAGGTCCCCAAACTTCCTTGATTAGAGGTTTCGTCCCCCAATGTCAGGCTTTATTCTAACTGTCCATTACGGCAAGATTGCACATTGAAGCGGTGTGATGACCTGAGAGATTCTGTGACCCAACGAGCTAAGCAGGATGACTTTGGCAGTCGTAGATTCAATCAATCTGAAAGGTCAATCGGCGGAAGGCAGACAAAGACCATAAGACCGGATGATTGGGAACCAGCTAATGTTTCCTTCAATCATCCAATTCTGCCCTTCGGAGAGGTCGCCATAGCGAATAAACACGGAGAAGAGCAGTTGAACGGTCTAGAAAACACAAACAGATGAACCTAAGAGCGAGGTACATGAGGATCCTTCCGGATGGCGTGAGAACTCTTCAAACATCTTTCGACAGCTGCCTCCCACTCCATTTGGGTAGCCCCCAATCAATACGATGTTGTCCTGTTCACGTCTCGCCCATCTCAATGTGTTCAGGAAGCTGAGGATGGACACCCCAATGGCAAGCCGATGAAAACGTTTCCGTTCCCACTTTTGGGTAAAAATTTAGCCCAATGCTTAGTTAGGATTTCCAAAGAATACCCCAAACAACTTCCGGCTTTCTTGTGAGTCAGACTTTTGATTTAAAGGCTCCATTCTTCTCTCTTGGATTCCGGGTTATATCATTCACAGTCTACATCAAAAGGTAAGCAAAGCGGAAACCAGTTTATTGATTAAACAAAAATTTCCTCTTCACTTAGCAGCATTCAATGTCTGCGCACGACTAAAAGTCATTGTGCAGCCACAGATGTATCAAGTTGGCACACACTACTCGAGTTTTCTGCATGAGTGCTAAACGTTTATGCGAGATTTGTAAAGGGAACTTATACTCTTCTGTGGCTCTGCAAAAGAATTCAGTAAAATCGAGAGACGTGGAAAAAACCAGACATGCCACATGCGACGGATCATGAACGATGGCAATACTTTCTTGGTATGAAAATATTTTCGCATAAGACTACAATTTATAATAATTCATTTGGTTTGACTTCGGACAGAGTAACCGGAAGGAAACGATACAATGACTTCCCGATTTAAATTAAACCTATGCATTCACCGAGAATTCACACAGGACAAGTGTTCGAATACCACCACCACCGCCTGACTTTCCCCATTTGTGTGTTGTATGACAGCCATTTGACTGGCCGCTTCCCCTTCCTGAAAATTTTATCATTGCATGTTCAATAAAAGGAAGTGAAAATGAAAATTTAAGTTGATCAGTGCCTGAACTAAATGACAACTTGATGACTGTAATAATCCAAGTATTCGAGCGAAATATAATAAGACAATAAACACATGTCACTAGCGGAATCAAAGTCACAGACGATTTTGTGATTTCTAAAAAATGGCCAACCTTATCCTGAGGAAACAAATGTTGACGGCGCTATCATTACCGATTGGTATGCACGTCTACATATTTTTCAGACTCAACGGAATGAGAAGAATGTCAGAAAAAAACAAACCCGTGGTCAATAGCTTAAAGATAGAATACTGAAGTATTATAGATCACAACTAAGGTTTTGTAATTTCGTGCAACTTCACAAAAGGGGGAGGTGAGTGATGCATGGGTCAATTATCGTTAGATAGGGTCATGGTTTTGGCCTGCATATATAATTTTTACAATCAATCAATCACTGGTTACACTGTTTTAATAGGATGTGTTCCGAAATAGGAACAAGTAATCAAAGGCCATCGGAAATGGGGAAAAATTGAGCCTAACAGCAAACTGTTAGCTGCGAGACCATTCTGGACTGCAGTAATGCATAACACGAGTGATCACTACTCTTCTATTCAAACGCATACATGCGCCTGAAAGTAAAAAGTACATATCTGCGCCAACACACAATTGCAAAGATGTTTTTTTGTACACGTAGATGAGCAACCAGGGTCTACAGTTCATCAAGATCAAACCCGAGCCTTCATAGGATATGGAGAAATACAGAAAACCAAATCTAAAATAGCAAATTTATTAAATCTATGTTGGCCTTCCGTGGCTCTAGAAATGTGAACTGATTAAAGCAACGCAAGAAATGTGGATCAAAATGGTAGTATTTCTCATTATCGTTTGACCTTTAAACAGAGACACGTGTTTTCGTAGATTCCATTGAATTGTACGATTGAATATCCCAACACAGGTAAAGATTTCATAAATGAAAGATCAAGCATAATTACATGGTAGATTGAACTCAGCTATTTCGCATTATGTCTTCAGTTGTGTACACATATTCATTTGGAAGTTCGGTCAAAACGATGATAAATCTCTGGGCACCAAGGTGAGAGCCCGAGGTTACTAGCCACACTTGAATTGAGCAAAAATAACGGAACGAACAGGGACGAAGATGGCAGCCTTACCAAAAAAGGCCAGACTAGTAACAGAGTCTGGTTTGTGACGCGGAGTAACCACAGTCTCGGCATATTTTAATAGCCACTCGGTCTTCTGCTGGTTTTATAACATGAAATGTTTGTCTTGGATGGAAAAATTTCGCAACCTATCAAAATCGCAGGAAATGGGGCTCTGAAACATTCGGTGGCAAGTGTTTTTTGAAGGGTTCTGATATCCGAATGGGCAATGGCCTTTCAGTTCTTGTGATACACTTCTATTGAAATAGGTAAATATAGGAAGAGATATTTGAAAAATCTGGTTTTTCCAATTTGGATTCGATAAACATTCGTTTCGTTTCTTTAAAAACGACTGTAGCAGTATGTGTTACATTGCATTGTACTGAAGAATGAAGTGTAGAAAAAATTTCGGGGAGTTCTCTGTTATACTTTGGACTATACGTTTGAAAGTACAGTAAACTCAACATATGTCAATTCTCGATGACTTCATGATGAGTAACATATGAGTGACACGACGCAGTTACACGGAAGACCATAACAAATCCCGTATGTCCTGCCTCTCTCATGTGACATGCGCATCCGGCAGTCCTATATCAATTTTATATCATAGGATCTCAAAATAATTCGATAACTCCATGATATTACGATTGAATTCACATCGGAAGTATAAGTAATAAGAACAATTTGCAGACGAATTCGGGATAGGCATACCTGACGAGCGGCAAGACCGGTTGTACATTACCAACATTGTTTTATAAATTTTTTTAGAAACACTATCATTGCCCTGGCAGTGCTAAAAAGTATGATTATTCGACCCTGTCGTATTCGTGTGTAAATGATGCACTGTCGAACGATGTATAAAATGTGCGTGTGATGTACCAGTTGAGATGCAGCGAAAATAGTTCTTGGTATATATCGTGCAACCTAGCTTTGTTGTGCTCCCTCTTCAATTTTATTTTGGAAAATAACTGTTTAAATTTTCCACATGCTCGTCTCCCGAAAGCGACTATAAACCTCTAGGATGGGCTTGTACAGCTGCGATGTAAGATTGTGGAAAAACCTGTTTGAAATAGTTCGACAGAATAACTTTCCAGTTGCCTGCTGTATACGGCTGTGGACTAGGAGACTGAGGCCAACCAAAAGCAACCTTAGACGCGTACCGAAGCGCTACAAACCGAGAAACATTTGTGAGGATAATTTACAGTTATTGTATCAACTTCGAGAACTTTTGTTTCGAAACAGTGAACTAAACCAAACAGTGTGTCCTCAAAAATCACACAGATCCCTTGAGCATGATGTGAGTGAGTCAAACTTTCTTTTCGATGCGTATAGTGATTTTAAACCTGTCCAATGTTGGTCTAACAACAATGAAGAACTAAGTGCTGTCTTGCGGTCTTGATTTTTTGTAGTCCACCAGGGGAATTGAATTCGATCACGACGCAGACGCAGTTTAAGTATTTTTCCGACCAACTTGCTTGCTTAGAAGCATAGAAATATATATATAAATTGATGATCAATTCTCCGCAACATAAAGGGCAATTTCGAACTAGTTAAACTAACAAAGGATTTGAACATCAAAGACAAATTCCTGGCTTCTATGGATATTCACCAACTTGCCGCTGCTTGAAACAAACGATACAAACTACAGTATATCGGTTGGCATAGTCTAAAAGGTGGCCTACAGGATGTCGGAGCTGAACCATCTCCTCCTCATATGCACATCAGGCATAAGCTTCAGTTTCCAAGGTAAAGCTTATCGATGGCAATGGGAAGCCAGTTAGGGTATATCCTGACGGATCTATTCGTCGCTAAGTTGGAAAACAAGACGGAACATACCGTAGATCATTTTACATGAATTAGAAGATACTTTGCTGGTATACCCATCAAGGCCAAGACCAACAACAAGTAACTTGTTCCAGTCATGAACAATTTACACAAAAATATAAATTTCCCATTGGAGGATGAACAAGAGAATCGCCTCGCATTTTTAAACATACTATTGGCAAGGAGACAAGATTCACAGGACTGTATACAGCAAGAGTACATAGACGGGGAAATATCTACATTTCCAAGCAACTAAAAGCACGGTATATAAAAAACACTATTCCATCGAGAACGTCGCATTTGCACCAGGGACAGCTTCTAAGCGGAATCAACTCCCAACTCCAATTAATTCTTGTTGAAAATGATTACCCAAGCAGTTTTATTAAGAAGTTCAATCGGACACCGGAGCGAAAACCAACAGTATATGACGTCCCTAAGAAGGTCTACATTTGCCTTACATTCAAAGGCGACGATTTCAGCCTGATCTTCCAAGACCGATTAAAAGAAGCGGTAAAATGCCTATAATGCTGCCAACCTAATCCACCCACACTCAACCATACGCATTCTCAATCCACCTACAAAGTACCCCCTGCCACTTTCCGCCAAATCACACGTACTTTATCGGCAGTTTTACACACAAATACCGGAGCACATTCCATGTCGGGTTAGACGCCGATTAACCAAGTCACACGATCAAAGATCATTCTCCAATTTGACCTCTCAAATCTACGCACACACGCATCACCTACCACTAACTCAATCACACTNCCAACCACCAACCCGACTCAAGAACACCGAACAAACAAACAACCCGACAAGCTGATTTACAATCATTCATGCTACCAGAATCCCACGGCTACTTAGGTTTACAGAGTTCGTTGCAATTAGAAAATGGAAACCTGATCTGTATGTTCAAAAAAACTATCAGTTACACTATCAATTCCTTGGCAGTGGTAAAAGATGTGATCATTCGGTCATGTCGTATTCGTGTATAACCGATGTACGGCCCAACGACATATAAACTATGGTTTTCCACTGAATTGTACCAGTTGAGATNTTCAATTTTACTTCGGGAAATGAATGCTTCATTTAAACATTGCTTATCCCGGAAGACAGTTGTGTTCTAGTATAGCAGTTTAAAGATTATCGTTGGTGTGATTGTTCTAAGTACAAGGACCACACAAATGTGATAAGAGAGATTGACTAAAAGTAAGAAAACATGGGATCAGATAGTAAAGCAGCAATTAATACGGTGTAGAGTGATGGAGGATTCAATTCAATTTCATAGAAAGAATTCGTCGTGTATAGAATAAATGAAGCGTGAACTCAAAAGCTGGGAAGCGCTGCAAAGCTGTCTCAACCTGGTTGGGTCTCATCAGCAGTGCGAATCCATCGACCCGACTGGGGATCAAACCTGGGACTTCACAGACAGAAAGCAAGCATGCTACCCACTCGGCCACCAGGTAGCTGATCAGTCCAATAACAAACTACACCCCTCTGAATCCATTTGTAGTATATACGTATACGTACCTGCAATGGTGATACATCGTTCCAACAAATTGATCTCTTTGGATTTTTGTGAAATCTGGATGAAAGCTCCGGTTCGATCCTTGATCTCCTTCACATACGCACCCACTTTTCCAATCACCAAACCAGCCGTACAATTTGGCACAAGTATTTTCACCTGATCGCAAAAAGAACGTATGGAGAGAGAACAAGATGTTAAAAAAAGAGCAAAGGTTGTTTGAAATGGCCAGAGAGGGATAAATGACGGTGTACACATGATCTGATTACGAGACGTTCCAATTGTGAAAAGATCATCCGCAATCCGGTTCCTCGCTAGGGTTCAAGAGGAAATAGTCTCTGAGGCCAGGAGTTTAATTTGTTAGCATAAAAGATGATTGCATACTCAGTGTATGTGTCTTCCTGTCGTTTACTTAAATAACAATAATCATTCGAGACATAGTGTGAAAGAAGAAAGCCCGATTGCGCTTAGTTAATAATCCACTTCAATAAACAGGTTTTAAAGATAAATGATCATCCGAAAGATAGCAGGCGATTGTAACCACGGAACTACAGCTTTTGTACATTGTGGTCTGTTGCTATTACGGATACAGACGGCATTTCAGTAGGTAAGCACATAATAAAAAGGACTAATTTTATCGTTCATACAAACTTTTTCTGAGTCGGGTGTGTGGAGACGGATGGCAATTACCTCGGCTGTTGACAAAATTCTGAACACACTCACAAACATCAATTATCACAATTCCATCATCTTTTTTTAAACTCTGATTTCCTTCGCAGTTACACCATTAGTTGCACCATCAAGGCATTCGAATGCTGTCGTAAAGGAAAGGTAAGGTCGTAGCTCCAAAGACCCGCTATGCGTCTATGATAGGTCAACTAGGATCCTCGAAAAACGAAACCGGATGTTGAAACAATTTAAGGCTACGTCCGTACATTACTGTGTGGACGTTTGTGATGTTTTGATTCCTCTTGCGGAATAGCAAATGGAAAAGTCAAGTTTTAGGAAGGGAAAAATTAATTACCAAAGCGCTGCCATAAATTACGAAAAGTGGGAAGATACGTAATGGCAATAGGACGATGTGTGAATGAATTAGGCCGATCGTATCACGTGCGTAAAATTATGCAACAATTGATTGGAAAAATCTAGAGTATCGTACAGGTCATTTTAATAAAACTAAGTTCATTCCAAGGGATAGTTTGTGTCCATTGTTTTCTTTTTTCTTTTCATTTTACTTCCTTTTATTGAATATATATATATATATATAATATACAATGATTCAATTTTGAGAAAGGGGAAGTGTCCAATCAAAGGGCTGCCATACAACACACAAGGAGGAAAGTCAGGCGGTGGTGGTGGGATTCAAACACATCCCCGGAGTGAAAATTTAGTGACTTTACCNAAGAGATATGGAGGAACGGAAACAGACGACGATTAATTTTCTATTCGCGTTAACCGAGAAACATTTAGCCCACGAAGTTGTAGATCACTGTTAAATGAAAATCAACGCTTGCGGTTGTTGCATTAGGCAAATCTCGAAGAACCACAAGTAGTGCTCCTGCTTTTTAATCCATATGCCCAAAACAGCCTTGGTTTCACGAACTGTAAAAAAATACATTGTTTACCTCGATTCTTTTATTGAAACGCCAAGATATTTGTTTTAACCGAATGCAAAATTTGAGCCCCGAATCCATGGCCACTCTGAGATGCAATTGCGGTGGCTGGGGCATGTTTTACGCACATCGTCTCACAGAATTTCTCAGCGATGTTTGTCGAGGCAGGTACTGAGTGGAAGGGAAGTCAATAGTGAAACAACTAAGATCTAACTGGAAAGCATGGAAACCCTGACCATAAGAATCGATCAAACATGTCGCATTAAGTCTCTGAATGGGGACCTTGGGAACGGTCGCATCGAGTGCTACTGGGTGATAAGATCGAGTGNAATAGGAAGCCAAAGGACACGACTCAAAGCCACCGGGCGAAGGTTCCAGGCCGGTAGTAGTATGAAATGAATTGAACTGAACTCTGAAATCAACTAATTCATAAGGTAAATGCATCACAAAACTTTTAACGAGAGAAAATAGATCAAAATGTGTGCTTTACCGACAAGAATCAAGCAGCACTCTACGAAATAACTCGCATCACGGATTGCAAAAGAACGAGTAAGCTTATCATTCCGACGGGGTCATGCATTGTTTTCGACCAATGCTAACAGACAAACGCATGGGTTACCTTGTGCTGAATCACAAAAGGTGTTCCCTCACAGCATACAGCAGTGATAAACAGGTATAGAGCACAGTTGAATTCAGTAGAATAGGTGCAAGGATACACTGAAAATGGAACGTGAAATTTAATAGACATTTCAAGGACTGAGTTTCATCTTTGAAATTAACATTCACGATCCTAGGCACAACGGATCCTCAGTTAACTTCGCATAACGAGCTGAGGAATGCCACCTTTCACATTTCTGGCAACTTATACCTGTTGCATTGCAGCATTAGCTATCTGAAGACCGTATCAAGAGCACTGACCGTGAAATAAGCACACGATATTACAATAAAGAGTTGCATCGGAGACGGACCACACGACGCATGCGACCGACTTTCGTTTTAGTTACTGGTTCACCAGAGCCATAGGGAGAAATATTGGTTTCCAATCGAAGCAGTGGGAAGGAACAGATGGATTCGTTCATATTAAAATCCTCGTTGATCTTTTCTGAATAGTCAATTAAGTGGGTTGACGAAAGACAGCAACCAAAGGCATCGCGGGAGGATGCAAGATTGATTATACAAACTGAAACTAGTGTCAAATCAAATGTATCGAATGTTAACGAGCATGACGCGCGTGAAGAACCGAGGAAACATGGAATTTATCTAAAGAACAATAAATTTGTCACAATCTGTATAGGCATGCTGGATACTAAAAAAAGTCGAGTTTGCTCCGATTTTTAATCTCTCAGTTTATGAGATATGAGGCTTTCCGGCACTTATGCTAGATGTACTAAGGAAATTTTCTCAGATTTTCTGGTTGTTGCATTATTTCAGTATTTCATAGGAAATACACGTTGACACACCTACATCCTGAAATTTGACCCAGAATTTGCAAGTGTCGTTTAAAAGACAATGGTATTCGAAAATGCGATCAGAAACCCCATGAAGGAAAGAGACTGCACACTACCTTCGTCAACCGGAGCATATATCTGATGCTTTATGGTTCTACCTATTTTTTGCCTTCTTTCATTTTTACTTTCTTTTACTAAATATACAAAGATAAAATTTTCAGGAAGGGGAAGTAGCCAATCAAAGGGCTACCATACAACACACAAAGGGGAAAGTCAGGCGGTAGTGGTGGGATTAGAACACATCCCCGGGGTGATAAGTTGGTTACGCAACCACCCGGCTACCACCGCCTAGTTGAGGGTTGAATAAACCGTGTCAAGATCTGCTACCGTTTGGAGGCCTTTGGGTTACCAGGATGGGGCCCCAGAGATGCGGACTGTTGTTGACTGAAGACGCTATAGATTGAAATGAAATCGGAGTCAGTGGGGCGAATGCCTCTTTATGTTTGTAAACCCACCATAAAAAAACAAAAAGTCCAAAATAGTGTGCAAGAAGCGAATCAAGAAATTTCATGTCAGCATCCTGACATCAAAAACTGTTGGATTATCGTTCTGTTCTTTAAAACCCGTGGTTATTTTGGGCCCGATGGATGAACATTGTGGCCGGCTAGAGACGCTCAGAGGTTTGACTCGAAACTCCATGGCGCAAATGGTATACAGTCTGTCTGTTGAAAATCCATTAACCAAAAAAGGAGAAACAAATGAAAAAATCTAAAATGTGCAGTCACACAAAACACTACTATTCTTGTTCGTTTTTTTCGTTATATGCGGTTTCTTCACATCGCTCCTGTTATTATCCTTATTGTGCCGTTGGCATCATGCTTGACCACAAAACGATGATTATATATATATATATATATATATATATATATATATATATA